AGAAATACCAACTCCACTAGGATTCCCAAATCCCATAAATAAAGCCGTCCCCCTCCTGCTAAGCAATACAGGCGGCTTTGAACATTTCAAAGAAACCCTCCGAAGGGCACCGAGTTGAGTTGTGTTCCCTCCCACCGCCCGTCAGGCTGTCCTCTGCCTCCTGTCACCCCTTCCCGTCTGGAAAAGGTGCTGCTGACAGCCCGGCCTCACTGGGCTTTCTGAGTCCTTCCTGGCAGGAAATGATGGAAATTCCTGGCATTCTCATCTCTGCTGGTCAACTCTGCCTGTCAGCCTCCCGATGGCTGGGGAGAGGGATGCGCAGCCCTCCTGGCTGTTGGAGGAAGGCTCCTGGCTGGTGCTGTCCCCAAACCGGAAGATGAAGGCAGGCTTCCCGGGAGAGGCCCTAGGGGTGACAGTCCACCTGGAGCAGCTCTCCAAAGGCAGCTTGGCATCCTCTCAGCAGACTCTTTCGGGGTCTCTCTGCACTGGGCTGGGGGTGCCACTCCATGGTAGAGCTCAGCATGCACAAGGCCCCAGGTTCGAGTCCCAGCACCGCCAGTAGATTCAGCCGTGGGTCGAACTGTTAAAAATCCTCTTGCTATCCTGAGTGCAGCAGCACCACCTGCAAGGCAGCTACTTGGGAGACTGAGGCAAAAAGTTCATTTGAGGAATTCAAGGCCAGCCTGGGCTAAACTTAGCAAGATCCTGTCTCTCCATACAAAAGGGAGATTATTCTTGCTAATCTGAAATTATTTTTCAAGAAAAAGAAAAAAAAACAGGGTTACTTGAAGTTAGAGCTACAATTGGCCTGTGAAGTTGTGGATAAGCGCAACAAATAATTCAAGGACATACTTGAAACAAATAGTTTCAAAGAACAAACTTACTGGCCTGAGAGGGTGTCTGCACCCCTCTTTGGCCTGGAACCCTTAAATATTTTTTAAGTAGCTCCTTTAGAACTGTTCTGCCTTGTTTCCACCAAAGAGTTGAGCTCTTCTTCCCCAGAGAATGGGCCCTTTTACTTTTCGTTACTGTTTCACAGTGCAATTTTTCACATCTCCTGTCCTGGCCATTAAGAACCCCTAACCCTGAGCCCTGGGTTCTGTTTGTCAAACACAATCAGCAAATGTTCCCAGCTGCCCAGAGTCGCTCAGTGTGAGCCCTTAAACCCACCCATGATCATTACAGGCTGAGTTGCGCACGAAAGTACGGGCCCCGGCATCAAGACCTGGTCTGTCCCGTGTCACCAGTGGGGCTCCCGCGGATGACCAGGTGATGTCATTCCCTCTGCCTTTGGGCAAAGCAGGAAGATGAGGGGTTCCAAGGCCCTGCATGCTATTTTTGGATTTGGGGGGGGTACCAGGGATTGACCTCTGGTTTTTGAGGCAGCAGTGGCATCACTGAGCTAAATCCCCAGATCGCCTGTGCATGCTATTTTGTATGAAAACAGTGAGTGGGAGATAAATAGAAAGGTATCATCGTTGTACTGATCATATTCTATGGATGGAAAACAAACATTCACGGCCGGGAATTTCACATCCCAGAAAAGGAATTCTGCCAAATTGTAACCACAGTTTCACCTCAATTAGCTCTGCGGGCAGAGGCCAAGAAATGCCGGCCCCCAAAGACTGATGAAAGCTTGAAAATGCTCACTTAATTAACTCTTCATCTCCCCAGTGCAGCTTTCATGACAGGAACAAATTAGCGGCAAAACCATCAGACTTCACCCCATCTCTTTTTCAGACACCTGCCCAGAACTCCGGGAAAGGGGCTAACAACTTTGGCATAGGGAAAGCCTGAAAAACGCTTTTTTTTTTTTTTAAATGCAGTAATGAGTCCATGAATAAACAAAGGAGATTGTACTGAAATAACCCAACACCAGCTAGGTCACCGGAAAGGGCGACACACTTTGCTGTTTAGGACAGTGCTATTCCAAATCTGGAAACACAGAATATCATGACAGAAATGGTCCTGGCTTTACACAGCACATGCTTCTGAATAACTCCAGAAATAAGCCAACCCAGGCACAACTCGCTAACACAGCAGTCCCTTTGTGTGGAGAGTAACTAACCCCTGTGCTGTGTTTCTTGTATTTGCATAAATAAGACATACCTAAAATTACACCGCAGCGAGTCTCTAAATTACCTGGTCTACTTCTGCAGAATTAAAAGCTGACACCTACACAGGTCTGTGTGTGCACGCATGCACGCACATGTACCGCACAGCGCAGCGAGGCCAACTTCACCTAGGCACGTGTCACTCGCTTACTGGCTAAGGCGGCCCGAGGCTCAGAGTTTGAGTAAATGGTTTCAAGTCACAAGAGTCACTCAGAGCAGGGCCTAGAGAGAGAGGCCTAGCCCATCTCCTGGCGCCTTCTCCCTCCAGCTCACTACCAACCTGCAGCACAAAAGGGACGGGACCCTCCCCTACAGGCTGAATTCAGCCAAACCTGAAGGCATGGTTCCTGGGCTCTGCTCAATTCGATGAGCAGATCCGGCCTCTGAGGGACCGAACACCCACGGTCTGAAGCACCGGGCCTGCATGCTAGGCCCTGTGAAAGTGGCCAGGCCTTCCCTAGGACGCCAGCCTGCGAACTGGAAGATGGAGAATCTTCCAACACGGCCAAGGCACGATCCCTGAAGTCTCACCTCCCTGCCTGTAAAGTTAAAGGCCGACTTAAATAATCTCCAAGGTTCTCCCATCAACAAAACCCCGCTTTTCTTGCCCCATGCTGGTGTCATAGCTGTGTCTCGATGTCCCCCAAAGCCTGTGCAGTCATAGGTGGGGCCAGATCCAGAGTGTGTGATGCTGGGATTCCTGAGCAGTCCACCTGGCACCGCCCTAACCCCGGCAGCCTGCACAGAGTACAAAGGGGCTGGAAGGCTGCTGCTAAGACCCCTTGCTGTTTAGCTGCCCTGCATCTGCCATGGACTGCGCCTCCTCCTGTGAGGCTCCTCTGCCACGGGCCGCCCTGCCTCGGAGCCAGCTGACCATGCACTGAAACCTCTCTGAACCTTGAGACGAACAAACTTTTCCCCTTTAACTCTGGGGGTCAGGTGTGAGAGACATAAGTAAGACAGCTGATTTCCATCACTCTGCCTAGAAGCTGAGTCCAAGGATCCCCGGCCTCGGGCACATTTGTCATCACCTACCCCAAGACGTTCCCTCAGTTCGGCCTCATCCTCTACTTGTATGACTTGGTATTGTTTTCCTTGTCCTTCTGTTTCTGTTCTCCAGAACTTGTACGTTCTGTCTCCCGAATCACCAGCTGCCAATTCTCTTGCATAATTTAACTTGTAAATTAAAATCTCTTCAGCAACATACCATCTTTCGTGTTTTTCACCAAATCCCTACCCATCTAGCTAGTCATACAATTGTGAAATAACACATTTCCTATCAAGGTCACTCTTTTTAAAGAGACTTTTTCTCCTTTATTTTTACTTTTTTTTTTTTTTGGACACAGGGTCTCACTATGTAGCCCAGGGTGGCCTTGAACTCCTGGTGATGCTCCTGCCTCAGCCTCCCCAGTGCTGGGATCTCAGGTGTGCGCCACCACACTCAGCTCAAGACTTTTTCTCTTGGTGCTTCATATTTCTACTGATTTCCAAAACATAGGGACATCGATTTCTGTTGCCACACTGACAAGTTTGAGTTTCCCCTTTATCTCTGCCTTTCATGTTTCCTGGTTTGTGTTTTGTTTTCCTTTGCGGACCCCGGTGCCATCCCAGAAACACAGGAGCTTGTGAGGACCAGGAGGAGCTGGAGGGGAGAGGCCTGGGGCCACTGCTCCGCCAGGGCATGAATGGAGGCGCCATGGGCCTGGGGCCACTGCATTCCCAGCCCGCAGGCAATTTTCTTTCCCAGAAAGAAGCACAGAAGTGGGTTTCCAGAAGGAAAAATGCTACAACAACGGGGGAGCCAGAGCAGCTGGTGGTTGTTAACTTTAATCAATGTCCAGCCAGGATTTTTTTAAGCAACAGGAAATAGGTTCACTCTCTCTCTTTCATATTCATTCTCTCTCATTTTCTCTCTGTCCCTCCCCATCTGTGTGAGCTGCTGTGACGGCCCCAGCAGGAGTGCAACACAAAGATCCCTCCTCTCACCACTCTGGAAGGCGAAGTCTGCAGGCAGCCTCGGTTGGCTGAAGTAAAGCAGCTGGGTGGCTGCCCCGCCCAGGCTCTGAGGAACCCATCTCCTTGCTTTTTCCTGCTCTGAGAGCCGCCCAAATCCTCAGTGCGAGGCCCGCCCTGCACCGTCCCCCACACACTCAGCTCTTCACAGCCACATCTCCTCGGGCTTCCAAGGACTCCTGTGATGGCACCTGGGGGCCCCAGGGCGACCAGGACGGAACCTCTGCCCCTCCCGCACTCTTAACTTGACCACGTGGTAGACAACATTCAGGGTCCAGGATGGCGATGTGTTTGGGGGGCCCTGGCCCGGCCCTTCCCACAGCGCTGTGTGCAGTTGGCTTCCTGGAAAAGTCTCCTCTTTCCAGTCACCGACTGATACTAAGTCATGTGAGCGCAGCCTGAGCGACGGGAGAGACAGGGGTTTCTAAATAACAACACAGCCAGCGTGGCGGTACACACCTCAGGTGGCTGAGGCAGGAGGATCTCCATCTCCATGAGTTCAAGGCCAGCCTGGGCTACAGAGTGCGTTGAAGACCAGCATGAACCACAAAGCGAGACCCTGTCTCAAAATACCTAATAGGTAAATAACAATGCAAAGAAATCCCATGAATTTTGGCTCAGATTTCCCTTTCCCACCATATGGGAAGCAAGGTAGCAAGCCACCGGCTCTGAACTCAGGCCAACAGACATCGCACCCTTCCCCACACTGGGGCACAGCTCCTATCCACAGCCCCTGGGAGGCCGGGCCGTCGGCCACCTCTTCCACAGAACCTCGGAACTCAGAGCCGCCACGTTCCGGGAGCCAGTCCAGCAGTGGGCCCAGCCCCACCCCAGGCCAAGCGAGGAGAGACGCAGAGCTTTGCTCGAACTCACCAAACCGCTTGTAACCGAAGGACTGCACCTCCTCCTCCTCTGCGAAGTCGTCTGTGGGAGAAGAGGGGGCACAGCGTTAGCCTGGCACAGGGCACAGGGGCCCACGGCTCCGACGAACCAGCTCTCCCCTCCCCTTCGTCCCCAGGGCCCGCTGACACAGGCCACAGTCTCTGCACTCACTGACCCCACTCCTGCAGTGCTCTTCCTGGTTTTCTTTTACTGCCACATGGAGGATCTAACTGAGGGCCTTTGCAGTGAGCCAGATTCCCAGCTCATTTTCATTTTGAGACCAGGTATCATGAATTTGTGATCCTCCTACCTCAGCCTCCTAGGGGGCTGGGATTATAGGTGTGCACAAGTGTGCCCCCTCCTGTTCTCAATGTGACTTCTAATTCAGATCTCCGCAAAGTGTGGCTCTTTCAAATTGCCTTTTTGCAGCTCGGTGTGGTGGTACATGCCTATAATCCCAGCACTTGCAAGGCTGAGGCAGGAGGATCTCCATGAGTTCAAGGCCAAATAGCAGGACCCTGTCTCAAAAAAAAAAAAAAAAAAAAAAAAGATGCCTTTCCAACTATTCAGCCACTCCTTGTCACACTGCATTATTTCAGTATTACTCTGATAGCTTGCTGTTTTCTCACATGTGTAAGTGTGTGAGTTTATTACTGTCACTGTGCTTCTTGTTGGTAGAAACTTTTTCTACCTAAATTCAAATGACTAAATTCCCAATGCTTAAAATAGTGCCTGTCTGAGGGCAAGGGCTTAATAAATGTTGCTGGATGAAAGACTGAACAATCAATGTCAAAGGTCCTGAGTTCAATTCCAGGCACCAGGGGGGAAAAACCCTCAAACGTGTCGAACACAAGCCACTGACCCCACACCCTGGCTCAGCGCCACTGCGGCACCAGCTTGCAATCAGGGGGCTGATGAGGAGATGCTGCCACCCAACATCGCCCGGAACTTCTGTGCTTCCCGTGACCAGCCTGGGAAATGACCCAAAGTCCAGGCACAGGTTCTATTCAATGTGTAGAAAGTTACAAAATAGCTGAAAAATCATTAAGTCCAGACTAGGCCTTGAACCTGCACTCCTCCTGCCTCAGCCTCCTGAGTGCCAGGGTAACAGGTGTGCGCCACCGTGCACTTGAGTTTTGTGTCTGGCACGGCACTGCCTCGGCGTTCCTGACCCAGCCCTCAGCGAACCCCGTGGGCAGCAGTGTCCACTTCACCCAGCTCTCGCCACAGGCAGAGACAGCCAGGCCCAGAGTGAGCCACAGTCTGGTGATCAGGAGGGGAAGACGCTGCCTCCGGGACAGGCGTGGACTCCCCAGCCGGATGTGGCCTGGCTAGAGCCAAGCCCCGAAACGGTACCAAGCATCACGGAAACACGACCCAGAGCGCCTCAGAGTCAGGGTCTGGTAGAAAAAGCATAAAACACACATGAAGCCGGGCATGGCGGCACTCGGGCTCCGGGGTAATCCTGGCCCTCAGGAGGCTGAGGCAGGAGGATTGCTGCAGACTGGAAGGCAGCCTGGGCTACAAAGTGAGTTCACGGCCAGCCCCAACTACATGGCCAGACTCTGCCTCCAAAAATAAATAGATGAATGATAAAAACACAGGTGAGAAAGCCACTGTGGGAGAGAGGCCTCTGCATTGTGCCACTGTCTGACTGTTCTGGGGACAGGAAGGAGGCGCTGCTTTGGGGTCTAGAAGGCAGATGTTCGCGGTCATGCTTTCTGTGTCTCAGGTCAGAGCTGTGCCCACGGAGGAGCACCCTGACAGGATGGCACCTTCCCACCGACGCAAATCAACCCCTTACTCTTCCAGCTACTTAGGAATCTGAGGCCTCTGCATTGTGCCACTGTCTGACTGTTCTGGGGACAGGAAGGAGGCGCTGCTTTGGGGTCTAGAAGGCAGATGTTCGCGGTCATGCTTTCTGTGTCTCAGGTCAGAGCTGTGCCCACGGAGGAGCACCCTGACAGGATGGCACCTTCCCACCGACGCAAATCAACCCCTTACTCTTCCAGCTACTTAGGAATCTATCCTGTGAGTGGCTGCACCTGGTCTATGTGCTCTTTCTCTTTGCTTTCGTTTTACTTTTTGTTCTTTTTGAGATAAGGTCTAGCTATGTAGTCCAGCCTGGCCTTGACTCACTGTGTAGCCCATGCTGGCCTCGGTCTCACAGTGATCCTCCTGCCTCAGCCTCTCAAGCTTAGACGCATCCATCTGCTCATTTACTCGATGTGGTCCCTCAGCTCCCTCGGGTACCACTAAACGTGAGGTGCCGGCACACCTCGTTGTTCAGGGATGACGGCTGTGCGGGGGACAAGTCTCCACACGCTCAGTACAGGCGCAGCTTTTCCCCCAAATATTTCCACTCCTGCTGGCTCTGGGACGCAGCACCGGACGGCGAGCTGTGGAAGGCCCACTGTGCCTCCTGTTTCACGACCTCCAGCCCCCGGGGGCTGAGGAGACTTGGCCCGCAGGTTCACCCAGGAGCACACAGCCCAGACCTCTTGCACTGCCGAAGCTGTTTTCAGCGGGGCTACCATTGGTTTGGTTGTTTGTTTGTTTTCTTTTCCCTCTTGGATCTTTTTCACATGCAGCTTTACCCTGGCTCCTTTCTGCTTCCTGAAGTTTCCCTGGGAACTCACATGCATCATATTTTTGTTATTAAAGCAGTTCAGTCCTGTCCCTGCCTCTCCCTCCGAATTAACATACTCAAACCCATTAAGGGCTCAAGAAAACAAAGGTCTAACCAGCAGGCCACCCATGCTAGGGCTGCCCAATGGTCTCCTGAGTTTTGTCTTAGCCCTCATTCCAAAGGATTAGCCAGCATTTTTTTCACAATACTTAGGATTGAATCCAGGGGCCTCAGCACCGAGCTACATCCCCCCCAGTCCTTTTATATTTTGAGACACAACCTCCATAAACTGCCTATGCCTGGCTCACTTGCAATCCTCCTGCCTCAGCCTCCCACAGTGTTGGGATTACAGGTGTGCACTATTGCACCCAGTTGGATTAGCCATTCCTATAACAGCTACTAGAAGAATAAAAACATTTCAAGGTGGGGATTTAGCTCAGCGGTTCCACTGCCTGCCTCGCAAGCGCAAGGACCCCAAGTTTGATCCCTGGTACCAAAAAAAATTTTTTTTCTATATTACCCAAGGCTGCTGGGCATGGTGGCGCATGCCTGTAATCCCAGCATTCAGGAGGCTGAGGCAGGAGGATCACTGTGAGACCAGACTGGGCTACATTAGTGAGTTCCAGGTCAGTCTCAACTACATAGTGAGACCCTGTCTCAAAAAAACAAACAAACAAACAAATCTCTTACCCAATGCTTAAAGTACAATATTCCACAATATCTGAGGATCACTGATAAAATACCACAGATAACTTCTGACTGCAGTCACCAGGAATTATACAGAAGTCTTGCTTTCTGTGTCTGTGTCTTAGGGGAGTGAAGGAAAACAAACGTATTACAACCCTTTCCAGGTAGTTCATAGTGGTTTAACTATCTGAGAGGTGCTAAGAGAGAAGCAACAATGACTTCTTTACATGTTTTACTTAAGTGTTTTCAATCATTCACTCTAGAAGCCTCTCTTCCTAGCCTTCAAAGCTGGGCAGGGTTCGGGCCGGAAAGCTGTGTCTTCCGCGGCTTTGCTTTGGGCAAGGGTGGGGGCTCTGGCTGGGGCAGAACAGCTCACCTCCTAGCGGGGAGGTGAGAGCAGAAACGGGGAGAACAGGTGCCCTAGGCCCTTCCAGCCACGCCCACCCGCTAAGCTGGGCCCGTCCGGAAGTCAGAAGCACAGCGCTCGGCGCTTCCCAGCACCAGGGACTGAACATTCCAGAGAGCACAAGGCTACCGTGAGGCTCCACCACATGGCACCACACTGACAGGTTTCACTGTGACAGGGGGCCTAGTAGTATGTGCAGCGCTCCATCCCCTCTCAAAGCCTCCTCCCCACGCTGGGCGGACCCAAGGTAAAAGTGTCCTGCTTGTCTCTGAGGTAGCAGGGCCTGTGAAGGTGACATTTTCAGAGATCCATCTCCTCGGGCGGCGTGCCCCTCCCCACAATCCACAGAATGAAACCTATTCTAAAACAAGACAAAACAACGAAGACTTCTAAGTTCTGCAGTGACTATAACCTGATAGGAACTCTGACTATTTTCAGAGAAGAAGCATCCTCAACATACTAAATGACAAGTGTTTTAAGATTCATATCTAAAAGCACATATCATGTTATTTTTACTTTCATTGGTAACTGGCACAGAGCCCCAACAGCTAGAGGTCTTTCTTCTGGTGCCAGGAATTGAACTCAGGGTCTTTGCACTGGGCTACATCTCCAGTCCTTTATTTATTTATTTTTATTTTGAGATATGGTCTTGTTAAGCTGCCGGGCTGTCCTCAAACTTGGGATCTGCCTGCCTCAGCCTCCCAGAACGCTGGGATGGCAGGCATGTGCCACACCTGGCTTGCACAGAGATTTTCTGACAGTAACTTTTGGATGTCCTAGATGCTTGAGGGTCACACGTACACAAAGGCTCCAGCCAGTCAGGACGGCCCTGCGAACACTTTGCCTTCCTCACCCCATACTCCCCTCCATCTTTCCTGGTATTCCGGTTCCGGTTCTGTTGGCACCGGATGGAAAGCCACTTGGAACCAGGAAACTTGTCCCCTGTACCTCAGCAACCAGCACGCTTATGGCACATGATGGTGCTAATTCTTGTCGAAAATTATGCAAACTAGAGTTATCCAGGCCTTGATCTCTCCCACTAGCTCCTGAACTCCTTAGGGGAAGTGGTTAGGTCTCTCTCCTTCTGGATGCCGCCCACGTTTGGGGAAGACGGGAGAAGTCACATTTAGTCAGCACCCACTGAATACAGGCGTCATTGTGTCGTGTTTCCTGTTTACAGATGAGAAGACTGAGGCCCAGAAAAGTCAGGATGATTTGACACAAGGTCTCACGGCAGCCTGTGAGCATCCAGACCCAGACAAGGGCCCATGTGTGGGACTCGGGAATTCTAGGCCCCAAGGGTGACTGAACCCTGTCCACTCCCAGGAAAGCCAAGAAGTGACGGTTTGTGCAGCAGAGCCCTGGGAAGGCTTAGGAGCTAAGGGTACAGGTAACTGAGAAGGGGGACCGCAGTGAGGCCAACACAGGACGACTGGTTGAACACACGTAAGAAGCACCTGGCTCAAACCGAGATGGTACGGGCTGGTGTGAGCTTAGCACACACAGGGACTTTAATTCCACGCCCAGCACCACAAACCAACCCAGAAAGGACAGGTTAATACGGTGACAAAAATATAGAGAAATCAGAGCCCTCTTACACTGTGGATGAAGTGTAAAAATCACGCAGCTGCCGCAGAAAAGTCTGGTGACTTCTCAAAAAATCCAACATACAGCCAGGTGGGGTGCCACACACCTATAATCCCAGGATTTTGAGGCTGAGGCAGGAGGATCGCTGTGAGTTGGAGGCCAACCTGAGCAATATATGAGCTTAAGGCCAGTCTGGACTACATAATGAGATCCTGTCTCACAAAATTTCTATGAAGAATTTATTATGTACTACAATCATGTACTAATAGAAACTAAAAATGGAAAATAAAAATAAAAATTAAACATAGTTACAATATCATCCAGCCATTCTACTCCTAGATCTACACCCAAAGAAATGAAAACTATAAAAACTCACACATGAATGTTGTAACAGCTCAGAAAGGGAGACAGCGGAAATGCTCCCCAAATGATAATGAATATATTTTGGTATATACACAATGGAATATTATTCACCAATAAAAAGGAACGGAGCACTGACACGTACGAACATACGACCCTGAACACATGCTAATAAGCAAAAGAAGTCAGTCTGCAAACCACCACATAGGGTGGAATTCCACTTCTAGGAAAAGTTGACATCTGGCAAATCTACAAAGTCACAGCAATTGAGCTGTAGGGAGAGTGACAGCCAACACAGCCAGCCCAGCAACTCTTGGGACCCCCAGGTGCAGGTGTGAACCAGCACGGCTGAGTGAGCTGTCACCGCCCAGCTCAGGCGCAGCCACAGCATCGCCTTTAATCCCAGTATTTGGGAGGCTGAGGCAGGAGGATCACCATGAGTTCCAGGTCAGCCACGGCTACACAGTCAGACTCTGTCTCAAACCCAATCCTCCTCAACAAACCCAGCAGACACACTTGCTTTAGGAGCAGAGAGATAAGAGATCTTGTTCCTTCCTTTATAGTTCAAAATTCAAGGCATTTCTGTTACTTGTATCCCTAAATGAGTCTCGGATGCTAAAGCCGATTTCCCTCAGCAGCTACCAGCTTCAGCAACTTTAGAGGACACAGCAAGTCTGCCACTCGAAGCGTTGGCACCCACCGGGCGTGGTGGCAGAGTCCTGCGATCCTGGCACTCCAGAGGCTGAGGCAGGAAGATAGCCCAGAGATCCAGGCCAAACCTGTCTCAAGTAACCTCAATAGTTTTAAAAGCAAATAAAAACATTGTTCTTTAACGTAACTCACCCTTTAGAGAAACATAACCTATGATATAAACTACAATTCAAGGTAATGAATCAGCTCCAATTTTTGCCCCAAATGAAAATGGCCCCCGTCTTCAGCCTAAAATATGAGCCCCTCACATAGTCTGCTTCCTCCTTGAACCTGGGCTCCAGGGGCCTGTGTGTGAGTCCTACCTGGCCATCCTGACTGCAAACTCTGAGGACAGGGCTTTATTTACTGGTGTTACTGGTGTTTCCACAGTCCCTTGCACACAAACAGTTCACACCAGATATTTGCTTTTAAAACATGCCGGCCGTGGTGGTGCACACGTAATCCCAGCACTTGGGAGGCTGAGGCAGGGGAGTCGCAGCGAGCTTGAGGTCAGCCTGGGCTATGTAGTGAGTTCAGGGCCAGCCTGCACTACAAAGTGAGACCCTGTCTGAAAAAAACAAACAAACAAAAATGGGGCTGAGGGTATAGCTCAGTGGTAAAACACTCACCGAGCACGCACAAGGCCCTGGGTTGGATACCTAGCATAAACTAAAGAAAACAAAGAGCGCAGCACAGCGGCGCCTGCCTGTACTCTCAGCTCCTAGGGAGGCTGAGACAGGAGGATCCTGAGTTTGAGGGCAGCCTGGGCAACTTAGCAAGATCCAGTCTTAAAATGTAAAAAGGGAGGGCCGGGGATCTAGCTCAGTGATGCTGCTGCCTGCCTCACAAGCGAAGGACCCGAGTTCAATCCCAGGTGCCAGTAAAAAAAAACGTAAAAAGGGAGAGGGCTAGGGTGCGACTCAGTGGGACAGCATCCCTGGGTTCGAGCTCCAGGACTAAAGAAAGGAAAGGAGGAGAGGAGAAGACAGGAGAGGAAAAGGAAATCAATTAGGACTTGGTGGTCGAACCTCAAGTAATAGAAATATGACAGCTTCATGGAAAATTAACGCTAATGAAACAGACAACCTGGCGTAGGGCTAAACCTTATGTATACATACATCTGTCCTGACTTAGTGACAATTTTGCTTCATGCACGCTTCCTGGATTGGATGCCATAACCTTGCTGAATAAAACCGGACACTGGCTGAGGGATTTAGCTCAGTGGTGCCGCCGCCTGCCTTGCAAGTGCAAAGTCCGAGTTCAATCCCCGGCGCCAAAAAAAAAAACAAAAAAACAAAACAACTGGACCCTGGATTGAGACAGGGATCTTTACGGAAATGTGCCATGATCAGCAGGCGCAACAGCGCTGCTGGGAACTCAGCGCTCCTGAGAAAATGAAGCACCTGTACGCATATTTACGGAGCTTGCACTGCTTTGAGAGCAGGCAGGAAAACTGCACCATCGCTGCAGTGACAAACTTCTAAGTGTGATCCCAGCACGGAGGTGGGGCTGACTTTTGATGCCAAGGACAGTGACAGGGTGACTGATGGCGAGAGCTGACGCAGGGTGAGGTGACAGGCGGGCCGGCACTGTGGCTCACCCGGGACTGCTCGGCCCCGGGGTCAGGGACAGCACATCTGCCATCAGAACGGTAACATCAGCACTGGGCCCTCGCCTTCCGGGTCCAAACGGTATCACTTGATGGAATTAACACAAGTGGCTCAGAAATCCGAGGAGGCAGCAGAAGCAGCGGATTACAGCGTGCAGCTGACTACAAAGCCAAACACTCGGTGCCTCTTACATACACAGCATTCCAAGCAACGCAGCTGCGTCACCCTCTCAATCCTCAACCAGCGCTCAGACCAACACGCGCTCCTTCCAGCTGGGCGTCGTGGCACACACCTGTGATACCGGCGCTCAGGAGGCCGAGGCAAGAGAATCACAGAGTTTGAGGACAGCTGGGCCACATAATGAGGCCCTGTCAGTCACGCACACAAATCAAACCTGCCCCTGGAAATGGCACCTCTGACATTTCAGGAGCTCTCCCGTGTGGATTCTGCAGCCAGATGGTGTGAGTTTGAATGCTGACTTCCCCACTGAGCAGCCAGGTAGCCTCGGACCCGACAACCTCTCTGAGCGCAAGTTTTCCTACCTGTAGCTGGGGGAATAATAATGACAGGCAGGTGGGAACCGAGAATGGTGGCGCATACCTGTAGTCATAAGAGGCTGAGGCAGGAGGATCGCTGTGAGTTCAAGCTCAGCCTGAAGTGTGTGCTGAAAACCTGTCTCCAAAAAAAAGCCAGGCATGGTGGTGCACGCCTGTAATCCAGCACTCGGGAGGCTGAGGCAGGAGGATCGCTGTGAGTCCGAGACCAGCCTGGGCTACATAGTGAGTTCCAGGTCAGTCTCACCTGCATAGTGAGACCCGGTCTCAAAAAACCAAAGAGAGGCGGGGAGGGGAGGGAAAGGGAGAGGAGAGGGAGGACTGTCATGGTGCGTGCTCAGTACACGAGACATCGTTAGAGGGGGAAATACCCAGGACTCTAAGAGGCCCATCAGAAATACCCAAGAAGTTGTCTGTGGGCACAAACCACAGTTCAGAGGGCCCCTGTCCCCAGCACAGGACCTAGTCCTGCCTTGTGACCACTGACAGCCTCTGTGGCTGAGACAGCCTGGCCTTAGGGGGACACGAGGCCTGGCAGGGGCGGGGCCTGCTCTCCAGGGACAGGGCCCCTCCTTCCCACCCAGGAGCCCCCTGGCCCCCGGGGCCTCCCAGAGGGATCACCCGCAATCTGGGCTCACCCGAAGTGCAGCAGGCTTTTCCCGTCACCAAATGGAGGTGTGTTTTCTCACTGGAAAGCTAATACTTCGAGGCCCATGTAGCTTACTTTTGCAGTGGTTGCATCGCTGTGGTGAAACAGTATCTTAATGAGAGTAAGCATGTATTAAGAAAATCAGATCCCAATCTGCTAGCTTTCCCATCTCCCCATCACCACAGCCACATGGCAAAGAGTGGGAGGTGGAGGCAAGAATCTGAGGAAACTGCACGAAGACCACAAAGAAAAGCTATGCTTAGCAATAATTAAACTTCCCCTTAAGAATGTCAAGCATCTGCAAATCAGTGACAAGTCAAAATACAACCCGAGGAAGAGTAGCCTTGCAGCCCAATCAGTGAAAGGGAAGCCGCCCGGTTCTGCTATTTTGTTTTTATCCTCCATGCTTGCTGGCTTAGTATCCTAGTCATCCTTAAATTCCGAGAAAGCAAGGAGAGAGTCCCAAAAAACAGGGAGTGGGAGAAATATACTGCTTACCAGTTCTCTTTTGGAAAGTATTACTGTCAAACAGTATTTTAGAAATGTTTATATACAAAAGTACAAAAATAAGCAGCTGAACACTGTGTTTCAAGGTGCCGAGCCCCTCCTCGTGTTAAATGAGAACCGTGGCTTGGACCTGGGATATCCCCAGTGGCGCTGGCTGTTTTCAGTCGTCTCTTAGGCAACAAGGGCTGCTGCACTGAAACTCACCAATATCCTCAACTTGCTGACCCAGAAGTGTGATTTAGTAACAGCACATCCAATGCTAGGGGAGTCAGACTCCTCCCTAAAAAGTGTATGTGTCCAACAACCATAAGCTGTTATATGGTGCAGTCGAGCTAATGAAAGATGAAATTAAACATACGTTAAAACAAACTTCCAACCGAGCATGGTGGCACTCAGTAATCCCAGCACTTAGGAGGCTGAGGCAAGAGGATTGCTGTGAGTTCGAGACCAGCCTGGGCTAAATAGTGAGTTCCAGGTCAGTTTCAACTACATAGTGAGACCCTGTCTCAAAAAAAAAAAAAAAAAAAACCTTCCTGTTTTCATCAGTTTGTAGGACTTCAAGGACTGCAGCAGCGGGGATAGAAAATTTCTCCTAGAAAATATAATGATGTCATTATTTTGGTTAGTTGGGACTCCAGCAGGGGGGGTAAAGAACTTGCTGAGTGCAACCGATAGGTGGCGCTGTGGTACAGGGCCGTTTGAGACCCTCCAGAACCCAGGTTATGGGAAAGTCGGGTCCAAGGTTTAAACGTCAGAATTGGAAAGGTTCTCCCACCTCAAAAAGGTACCCTGAAAAGGCATGAGACTTGCACAGGATCTACTGCTTTGGCAAATGAAATTCTGTAGGGCCGGGGATTTAGCTCAGCGGTTCGGTGGCCTGCCTTGCAAACGCAAGGACCCGAGTTCAATCCCCGGTACCAAAAAGCAAACAAACAAACAAAATTCTGTAACTTCCACAGTAGCCACTGATTTTGCATGTGGCTAAAGAATGTTTTGCTGGCTCCAAGCTTGCTCCCGGTACCAAAATCTGGGGTGCTGGAGTTCCTTACGGGAAGATGGCACAGGGCTGATGTGGGCGCTCAGCGCTAGAGCACAAGTCCAGGGTGCTTGAGGTCCTGGATCAGAACCACAACAAAATAAAAGCAGGTCTCCGCGTACAAGCGTCACACGCCCTCCAGAACACTTTAAATCAGTTTTCAATGACTAATAATACCTCACACCAGGTGAGCGCTTTGTACACAGCTCCACTGCACTTCTAAGGAAAACCGGCCTGCACCTATCCGGCGCGGGCACAGCCCTTTCCGTTACTGTCAGTCCTCGGCTAGCTGAATCTTCAGGGGATGCAAACTCTCTTTGGACTTCAAACGCTTGCCGGGCTGGTCCTCCCCTCGTAGCATTCCGAGAAATCTAATTCCAGGGAAAACTGGAGCGTGATCGGCTGTGCCACACGATCAGCAACCCGGCGTGAGAATGCGGCCCTCGGACCAACCAGGCCGCAGCCCGCGCGCCGCGCTCCAGGCCTTGGCCCAGCTCCGCCTCGCTGGAGCCTGCTGGCTTCTCAGCCCAAATCCACACCAGGAGTTCCGCACTGGCGCCCCCGAGCCTCGGAAGCCACACAGGAAGGCGGCCAGGTCCCTTCTCCAGCTCCCTCCCCTCCCCGCCCGCGCGCTCACTTCCGGTGGGGAGGAAGGGGTTAGGACGCCCCCTCCTGGCCAGGGGTGTAGCTCCGCAGGGGAGCTCCTGTTCGGCCTCCGGGTTCGAACCTCAGCACAGCAACAAAACAGAACCTGTCAGGACTGACTGCAGTGCTCACGGGGGTCACAGCACTGCGGTTTGGCACTCGGTAGGCAGTAGAGATTATTACTGCCCCTCCTCTCCCTCATCTCACCGTAGTAGTAAAGAGATCTCCTACAGAATATTCTCACGTAAAGGGAGGCCCTCCAAAATGGCTGGTCTACACGGGGACCCCTGGACCTGCCTCCCCAACCGAGGCAAGATGATGGGGCTGTGTGGTAAAGACCGCGGAGGGTAAAACAGGAGCCTTCTCCTGGGGTGCGCAACCTGGTGGACAATGCTGCATAAATCACACCAAAAATGTGTTCAGAGCACAGTGTGGTGGCGCATGCCTGTAATTCCAGGACTCAGGGGCTGGGGATCTAGCTCAGTGGTGCCACCGCCTG